GACCGTCACCAATAAAACACCCGCCAGGGCAAGCTGAGTCGGCAGGTTCCTCGGCCTGAAGGAGGCCTTAAGCTACTTGGTGGTGATTGTCCTCAGCCCCCACGTAGACAGCTTCCCAATACGGTGACCTCGGGTGAGAAAGCGCCACTTCACTGCAATAGGATGACTCGCCAGCCATCGTTTTGTAAAAGGAAGAAATCTAATTTTTGCTAAAAGCGACCTCCGTGATCCTGTGCCTCCCGTGGCTTCTTTGCCCCCAAAGCCTCTTGGTCCCAAGCCGTTTAAAGGTGTTTTGATCCATCCCTTAAGATAAATTCCGAGGAATCAAACTCTGTCATGAAAATTTAGCGGGGCTGCATTAATCAGAGGCGATCTGGCATCTACACTGTCCCTTCTAAAAGGTGATGCCGCAGTGGGGGAGTCAGGCTCCTGCCCCCATGACACGTGGTCGGGCGGACCCAGGCCTCACTGCCTCACCCAGCGAGCTAGCCTTCCGTGACTCGCCATCCCTCACCGAAATAGAACACTCACTTTCAAAATGTCACGGAAATGCTCTCTCAACTCCACAGAAAACTCAGAGAACTGAACTCCTTTTATTTCAGTCCACTCCTCAGGGTGACTAGCTGGCTCGTGGGCATCTTTTTTTAGGCTCCAGCCAAATTCAAATAAGAAGACCAAGTGTGAGCTAGGGAAGTCATGGAGCTCCGATGCCGCTCAAATCCAAGGAGAAATGCTATCTTCTCCATTCAATCATTTAGCACAACTCCGTCTTAAGAGGCTTCTTCCATCGGTAGAAAGAAAGGAGCTCCCGATAAAGTGGAGCATCCCCATTTCTGTGGTTTGCTTTCTGTGTCTCCTTCCTCATCATGACTTCTCCTCACTCTCGTGCCTCTCCCCTGCTCTCCCACTTTTCCATTTGTATTGGAATTGCTGGGGGTGGGGAGAGCCGCCTGGCCTGGATTTCAGCCAGATCGGAGACAGGAAGCCCCAGGGAAGGCAGGTGGGTAGAGGTTAAACGCATCCCTTCTGCTTCCTTCAAAGTTCTCTGCCTTCGAGCCCCACTGTGGTCAGGCTTCCCAGTTATTTGAACTTCTTATTTATTTAGAAATGGGAAGGCACATGGGTAGAGGTTAAACGCACCCCTCTCTGCTTCCTTCACAGTTCTCTGCCTTCGAGCCCCACTGTGGTCAGGCTTCCCAGGTATTTGAACTTCTTATTTATTTAGAAATATTTTAAACAATTGCAACTTCTAACTCAGTTCCCCAGGCACCAGGGAGTCCTGGAAAGCAGAAGCCCAAGATCTCACTTCAAAAGGAGAGACTGCTGCACCCCAGCTGTCTCATCCCTGTTTCAACTCACTCTTGCCCTGGCCTTCTGCTATAGAAGCTTCCAGCAATACCCTCAAAATTTTAAATTTTAAAGAGCCATATCACAAAAGGATAGTGCTAAAGATTTGCCTTTCAATTTCTGACAAAAAGGAGAAAAGAAAAGGGATTATAGAAACCAGTCAGTGCTTACAAAGCTTGGAAGAACAAAGAAAAAACACCAGAAGGAGAACAATGACGTGAGGTTTAAAGAAGCTCCAAAACAAAACTGAGCATGTGCAGTAAAATAATGTCCTTCAGTATTTAACATTACATTGGTAAAAGGCTTCCTTTAAAATGATACAGAAAGTCTAAGAAGCTGGTATTTTGTTTAGTTAGAAAGGGTTCGTGTCAAAGTGACTGAGACATTCACAGATTTGAAAAAGAATCTAAACAATAGAAGTTGGTCGTGGACATTTTCAAAACTTTGTGAAGGGCCTCCGAAACATTCATGGAAAGGGCACATTGGGAAGAGACAATGCACAAATTGCAAATTTTTTGCACCAAGGTAAACTCGTACTTTAATTCCATTTTTCCACAAACGTTTAGAAATCCCTTCATCCATCTCTGCAAGCAGAATGAAAAGAAGTGCAAATTTCTAGAAAGACGGCAGGGCCCTCGAGCTCTCTGCAGAAGCAGTGCTGCTGGGCCTCTCCACTGACGGAGGTCGTGGCACGATGCCACAAGCAGCAGGACAGACAGACAGTGCTCTCTGCTGCTTCTGCGAGGCGACCCTCGTGGCACAGAGACCCCACAGAAAGGACGTATCACGTCGGCCCACCTGAGCACGGGTAAGCGCACATGTTCCCTTCTGACCAGGGCAGGGCAGGGAGCTGAGGCGGGGCTAGGCAACTGGTGTGGGGTTTAGATGGCTGCAGTGGGGTTCTAAATGACTACAGCTGGGGTTAGGAGGCTGCAGGGGGGGTTAGGAGGCTGCACTGGGGGCTAGGGAGCTGCAGTGGGGGTTGTGTGGCTGCAGTGGGGCTCTGGGCAGCTGTAGTGGAGATCTGGGCAGCTGCAGTGGGGGTCTGGGTGGCTGCAGTGGGGGCTGGAAGGCTGCAGTAGGGGGTAGGTGGTTGCAGTGGGAGTTGGGGGCTGCAATGGTGTTTAAAAGGCTGCAGTGCAGGTTAGGCAGTTGTCGTGGGGTTAGGGGCTGCAGTGAGGTTTAAATGGCTGCAGTGGAGGTCAGGCAGTTGTAGTGGGGGTTGGGGGCTGCAGTGGGGTTTAGAAGGCTGCAGTGGAGGTTAGGCAGTTGTGGGGGTTGGGAGCTACAGTGGGGGTCTGTGCAGCTGGTGCAGTGGGGGCAGGGTTTGAACAGTTCTGCTCTTCTCATGGCCGAGAGCCTCGTGGTGCACTATGCAAGCTTCCACGCCATGTCTGCAAGTGCAATCACACACTGCTTTGCCAGTGTGCTTGGTGGAACCACCTGCTACGTGGACGAGGCCAGAGAGATGTACTCACAGGCAGCCCTTCCAGACCATTTCTGCCCGGTGGACCTCGGTCGCCCTTGGCCCCTGGCTGTCCTGGGAAACCTTTAAAGAGAAGGAAAAATGGCAGCATGGCATGCATAAGACACTTCTTCAAAATCTTCACCCCTACCCCCTCAAGATTCCAAGGTGTAAGTCTTTCTGCCTAGTGCAGAAAGAAGTAAGAACAAAGATGCCAAGCTGGGCTCAGAAGGGGAGCGGTGACCCCATACCAAGCTCCAATAGTGCAGAAGCAGGACCACCATGAGCCCCCCACCCTGCATGGTCCTGGTCACCCCCAGGGACCTCACAGCAGCAGCCCACCCGCTCTGTGTGATGATGAAGTGCAGTGCCCTCCTTGTATCAGAGGCTCTCCGTGGTGCTGAGGCCACGGGTCCTCCTCACCCTTCTCCCCATGGGGCAAGTCTTGGAAAGAGGCCTCAGTGTTCTCATATCAGCCTTGAGTTTTGAGCACAGGAAATCGGATCTCCCAAGGAGAAGGTTCCGTCTCACCATGAAGACACCAAAGCCCAAAACAAACCCCGACCGGTCCTCTCCCTGCTTTGGGTCTCACCTATTTCTCCTGGGGGTCCCTGGGGCCCAGGAGGACCACGAAGTCCTGCAGTATCACAGATGAGGCAACTGTCCCCTTTTTGACCTAAAAAGGGGAGCAGAAAAACACTTGGATGTGACATGGGAACTGAAGTCTCCACGGTGCATGGAGAGAATAGAAAGCAGCAGGTCTATCCTCACTGCGTGTTCCACTTGCGTCTCCCCTGCTGTCCATCAGCTCCTCCCACGCTCCCCTGCTCCCACAGAGACACTTCTGTGGTCAGCCATGGCTCCTCTGCCACTGAACACGTCTATTACTTGCAGCCCGCTGCCACGCTGTTCAATGAATCAGCCAAAGGACAGGGCGCCTTACTGAAGAGTGATCCAGAAACTCAGTCTGCCTGTAAGCCTGAGAAGATTTGAAATCTTTAATTCTGATGCTCCCCTCTACTTCTCTCTTTGGGTAAATATTTCCACTGAACCACACATTTAGCTCAAAAATTTATACCCACTCCTGGGTGAAGGATGATCATCGTGAGTAAGAAGCCACAAAACCAGGAGAAATGATGTGAACTGGCACCAGGGGTACAACAGATTGACTGTGACATGGAGGCAGGAAGAAATGCCAACACCCCAGTCTTGATGTCCAGCTGAGTCCAAAGAACCTCTGGTGCCCACACTCCAAGGCTGTTACTGGCATATGTACCCAGGAGGAAGAACAGGAACCCCCATGGGATGACATGAGCACCTCAGCTAAGATCCCAGCTAAAGTCTGGAAACTTTATGAATCAGTGGGTTTTTCTGTTCACAAAGCTGGAGGCAGATACTACAAAAGGAGGGGGAAGACAGATGTTTCACCCAGAATTCAGAGGATGGATGAGTCAGCTCTCAGGAAAAGAAAAAAAAAAAAAAAAGCACCTCTGACCATCAAATCTCTCCTAAGTACTAAGCACTCAATAACTAGAGGAACTCAGAAGAAACCAAATGGCAAACTGACTCATTGGTGGCACCTTTATGATGATTTCTAAAGTCACATCCATTGAAGATTCTGAAATTTATGTAACTGTCAAAATTCTAAGATGTTAGCTGAAACTTTTCCAGACTTTTTAGACTTTTGAAGGCCAAAAATTCTTTACATTTCAAAACCAGAATGGCATCCAATGAGGTTGACTTGGGGGTCGACCTCCTATTTGTTCTACTCCTAGGTTATAAATAAACATCTACATATTGGCACACTCATCATGTCTCACTGATAATCCACCTCTGTTCCCAGGATGTTAGGAGATTGATTTGTGTCTGTGTCAATGTTACTACAGTAAACACTTGAAAAAACTTAAAGATAAAATTAAGAGCCAGAGAAAGTTGAGTCACCTGTGAGTAGTGTATATGCTCATGTTATTCAATGCAGACATGGCTCAGAGGTTTGGTGAGCCTTCAGGCCCAGATATGGGCTTTGGCTTGAAGAAAGGATATGTGTTCTTAGAGACTGTGACTCCCAAACTCTGAACTGGAGACTGCAGGAAAGCATCAGTCTGAGCTCCGAATCTGCTGGCCACGTTCACAGCAGTGAGATTGACACTGCGGTTCAGGGGAGGTGAGGAGCCAAACCTCTGGCCTGCACGGTCAGGTCTGCAGCCCCCCTCCCAGGTCACAGCACTCTCACAAAGCCCCACACCAGGACACTCTCAGCTGAGGCTGGGAACACACTTCCTCCAGGAATGGATGCTGTGGGGACAGCCAATAAAGCAGCACACGCCCTAGCCCACCCTGGCCCAACTCCTAAGCTTGCAGGTACCTATGGGAAAATGCCATATGCACAAACACACCACCAATTTAAAAAATTAACATCTCTTACCTTTCTCTCCAACTTCGCCTATCAATCCCGGCTGCCCTGGAATTCCAGGGGGCCCCTGGTCACCAGGCGGTCCAGGCTGACATTCCACAATTCCATCTGAAATGGAGTTTTAAAAGTTACAGAATCATTGCTAGGTATTTTAACCCTCTCTTAACCTCCTTTATAAAACCCGAATAGTTTAGGTTAGTTGCTCAGTATTAGAAACCCAGGTTTCGTTTGCTCGGAAGTAATCCCAGAATCTCAGCTTCCACCAGAGGGCCACCACTCACAGCCATCACCGCTCTCAGCCAGTGCAGGCGGCAGCAGGATTCAGCTCCTTGGCCCTGTCGGACCAGGTGCTCCCAGGTCCAACGGGACCACATCCCATGACATTCTTCATGACGTGAAATCCACGTTTCCTACACCCAGCCTATGGGACATCCCTGCTCAGCCAGGCCCCCCTTCAACATTCTCAGAATACTGATATCAGGTCGCCTGACCCAGAGCCTCGATTAGAATAATGCCGTGGAGAGCTCACGTAATTTACTGAGCACTGTGCTGAACACAAAAAAGAGAAGGCAGTCTTATTCTCCTAATCCCACCATTCTCATTTTCTGTAAAAACAAATAGAGCCAGGGCCACCTGCCCCAAAGCAAAGTCAAACCTTGGCGCCCTCACGGGGCAGGGCCGTGCAGAGCACATTCCCCAGCACATTCCTTAGTTCACGACTGAGAAACAGGCGGAAAAGAGGCACACGGTCTGCCCGTGCCCTGCATCGGTCAGGGCTGAGCTCAGGCTAGAGCAGCCTCTTCCCCGCTCCCCTCAGCAACTTTACGGCAAAGCAGCTATTATCTCCGAGCCGCAGACTGCTCAGAGGGACGTGTCCAGAGGTTGGTCCACATTCAATTCTGAGCAGGAGTATGGAAGGAAGCAGGAGCGTTGGCCATGCTAACGCCGTCTCTCATGGGGTCTGGGAAATAAAGCCCTGTTCTACAGTTTGGACATGCACTGTACCGGGTCTGCACGTCCTTCTCCAGTACCTCTGAGAAAACGGCAAGGGGACCCCAGCATGTGCCAGTACCCCATCATGACCATAGTGCCAATGTTCACGAGATAGGGCTGAAGCCACGGTCCCCTCCCAGCCTTGTCACAATGAAGCAGAGGAGTCAAGGACAGAGCCTGGAGGTCACCTGGACACCCCCAGTTTCCTGCAGTAGAGGGGCCCAGGGCCTGGCTGTGGGGCCCTCCCTCTGTCACCTGTGCATCAACTAGGTCAACCTTCCAGCTCCCTCACCCCAGCAAGAGGGCGCCTAAAACCCCACACTGCCCAGCCCGACCACTTGACCACTCGGCTTGGAACTCAGCGGGAAGTGGGCGTGCACGTGTGAGGGCTACGGTAGAGGAGAAAGCTTTCTGGCTGTTTATTTGTTGCCTGCTCATTTACCTGTGAGCTTCCCCAACAAAGCACAGGGAGCGATGAAGCCTGCGTGGGCGTCACTCTCTGTCCCAGGTGGCCACTGCTGGGGGCCTGCTCCACGGCCCCTCCCAGCCCCCCTCCTGCTGACCCTTGGCCAATGCACAAAGGCACTGTCCCTCTTAGACAAACCAGACCCCCAGAGGCCTTAACCCAATTTGCCTACTGTAAAGAGCCCACACCCCCAGCCCCACAAGTCTGGGGTACATTAATTCCCTGACTCTGGAAACAGGTTCATGAAAATTGAGAGACATGAAATTATCCTCTGTATTGCCAATGGGCATGGGCGTCCACTAGACAGAGACAGGGAGGAGAGGGAACACTCCCCAGGGGACACCGCGTGCTGCGACCCCTTCTCCCCTTCTCATGCCTGTTGAGATTGGGGTACAGAGGTACTCAGTGTGTTTCTCAAGCTACCAGGACTGGGACTTGAACCACAGTTGGCCATGCGGGATCTGGGCCCCCTTACCACTACACCACGGAACCAACCCAAAAGACATAAAATGATTACATTCTTTTTCCAAAAGAAGCCTCCTGCCTGCCGCAACTCAACCAGAAGCCCTTTGCATCCCTTGCGGAAAAGCTATGATATGTCTCGGCCGCAGCTGGTTTGAAGTGTACTGAGATCTGAAGAGGTAGCGTGAGTTCCCGAGGCGTTCTCACGTGCAGGTGAGAGCCACACTTGCACGAGGGCATTCACGGTCACAGGCTTAGAGCTGGGGACCCCAGACAGCACGGGCTGACAGCGCAGTCGCCGGGGCGGGTGCTCGATGGTCCGCGTGTGCTTACCGAGCCACCGACGGGCCCCAGGCGGCAACCATTTTAAGACGCAGCCTCTTTTCTTCCCCAAGCTTTTTGGCACAGGGCGTGTGCAGTTGACAGAGAGAGACAGGGGCAGTGAGGGGGTGTGAGAAATCACCCCCGGGGCATGGCCATGCTACAGTCCCTCCTCCAGTCTCCTCCTAGGATATCGGGCACGCACCTGCTCTCGGGGTGATTTTCAAGCCACCGAGTCTAGGGTTTGAACCTCGGTCGGCCGTGTGGGAGCCCAGCGCCGTAACCACTATACCACCTGCTGGCCCCAGATGCAGCCTCTTTAACATACACTGCAAGTCGGCACCAACATCTTGTTTGTAAGTGCTCGCTTAATGCCCCGTGGTTGGGAGCGTCTCGGTCTGCACCTCCTGCGTGCCGTGTGACTGGCTCGTCTTGGGCCATCCTGCCTCCCTCGTGGTATGCGTGCCCCAGGAGGACAGTCTGGGCAGGTCGTCCCTGCTCCTGGGACAGGAGCCCCGCTGAGTGGGTGAGCGACGGCGACCCTTCTCTCGTCACGCAGAGAACGTGACTGGGGCGAGTGTGCCCAGGACTCCGATATGTCATCACTTTCCACGCCTCACAAGACATGAGAGAAGAGGAGCCACAGGTCACGCATGGCCCCCCCTTCCCCACATCGATGTCGATCTCTCCTGGGAAGCTGCCCACCTGGGGCGCCTCCCTCCACTCCTCACCTTCCCGCCTCTAGCAGCCAGGCCCCGAGAGCTCCCTTCCTGAAGACGGGCCTGGGTTCCCACACACAGATCTTCCTGTGCCTAAAGCCTGTGACGCTTCCTAACCCCACACAGAGGACCAGGCTGGAGGCCCTGCGGGGCACACGCTGGTCCCAGGCGGCGGGTCCCACAGATCTGCCCTGGACAGCTGCGCCCGCGCCCACGGCACGGGGAGGCGCGGACCCTCTGCCTGTGCTTACAGCCTGCCGCAGCCCCCTCCTCGCCCAGCGTGTGCGCCTGTGTGCATGCCCGGGCACTCGGGCGCCTCTGGAAAGGAGAGGCACTCTGTACCCGGCAGACACCACGCAGCCCCACCCCAGATGCCGGCAGACGGTGTGGCCGTGTGCCCGATTCCTCCTATCCAGGTTTTTGCTGTTCGTTTGTTTTTAAATGTTTCCTTTCTGTGGCGCGGTTAGTTCTGCCCAACCGAGCAGGATGTGAGTGACCACAAGTCACCGGACAGCCCAGCCTCAGGCGCACTCCACGGGGGGCTCTGCCTGGCCGCCTGGCTTCCAGCAGCCGGGCACGGGAACCAGCCGCGGGCACTTACTTGTGTGGCCTGGCTGTCCGGGGGGCCCTGGGGGGCCGGGGGGGCCCTGCAGCCCATCTCTTCCACTCGGTCCTGGCAAAGATACACCTGGAAATCCTTGGTCGCCTTTTTCTCCTCGTTCACCAGGGAAGCCAGGAGCGCCGGCCTGGCCAGGTACGGGGATTCCTGAAAGCAGCACAGAGCCCGTCATGGCCTCCAGGCGAGTGGATGACCACAGCCCAGGCTGGCCTTGGCGGCTCCGTTCAAGGGAAATGACCGCTGGGCCACCAGGGAGACAGGCGGTCAGGACAAGGGGGACGGGCCAAGCTGGCGGCTCTCCCACCCAAGTGCTAGCGCCCAAGGCCTCCAGCTCAGGGCCGCGAGGACAGGGCCGCGTGGGCAGTCACGGCCATCCCGGAATCTCTTCCAGGCCCCCGCCCCGCAGTCTGAGGGACAGGGCTGCAGAGGGTGCACCCCGCTTCAACAGGGAATATGGGCACGGAGCATCACTCAGCACAGCAAACAGGGCAGGACAGCCACAGGCTGGACTCTGGAAGCGGCAGCGGGAAGGCAAAGACGAGAAGGTGGCTTTATGGCGGGGCTCGAGTCCCAGCAGCAGCGAGGCTGAGTGTGTGGACCCGGCCCAGCTGCTGTGAGCGGGGCAGGACGTATTGCCCTGGGAGAGCACGAGGGCGCCCTGGACCAGCCCTGGGCTGTGAAGAGGGAGAGGATGGAGGAACAGCCAGACGGGCCATGTGGGCTGCGGGAAGGCTCAGCGCAAGTGCAGGGTGCAGTGGAGAGGGGGCAGAGCTCCCAGAGAGGCAGCCAGACCCTACCACAGCCTGAGACCGGGCTGTCACAGATGAGGAGGCGCTTGGCCGAGAAGACCACAGGCTTGGTCGTGTTCAGGGCAGCACAGGAGCCCAGGCTAGCATCGGGCGCTGGAGCCCCCACTAGTGGCGAATGGAGGGAGGAAGCATCCCTCACGGGGAGCAGAACGGAACAACCAGCAGCCCAGGGGCCAGCCAGCAGCCAGGGGAGGGGGTAAGGTCGAGTGGCCTGGGGAGGCAGGGCCATGGCCACCCAGTGTCCGCCACAAGTGAGGGCACCAGCCAGAGCGAAGAGTACCCAGGATGAGGGAGGGGCGCCGCAAACCCTCCAGCAGAGCGATGTCGGTGAATCTATTCCAAAATTCCTGGCTAAGAGACAAGGTGTGTGTGTGTGTGTGTGTGCACGCGTGAGTGGGGGACTGTCACAGAAGGTCATATGACATCAGCCCCAGAAAGACAAAGAGTGACCTGTTCCCTGAACCAAGGAGGAGCAAATGGTTGGAAAGAGGGGAAAGGTGAGACTTTAGGAGTAGACCCAAAGTGTTCCTAGAAGGGGGAGAAAGCAGGAGCAGGTGACAACCCTGCCTTGAGCCCTGTGTGGGACAGAGGGGAACTTTCGTTCCCATAGAAAGGACAAGGGGCTCTAGGAGAACTTAAAGCTGCCATGAGGGGAAAAAGCGAAATAATAAAAGGATTAAAAGCAAAAATAAACTTAAAGACAAAGCAAAATCTTAGGAGCTGTGGGTAAAGAAGCTTGTTTGCTGAGCGATGCTGGTCCCTGAGAAGTGGCGGGGGCGGGGGGTTGCGGGAGGGCCGCAGGCCATCCCGGGGTGCGGTCCCATTAACCACACACTAATCCCTAACTGGTAAGACACCTGCCAGCACATTGCTTGAGGACTAAAACCCCACAACGACTGCTATTCCATGCGAATGTCCAGCGTGCGATCGGCACGTTTCTCACATAAACCACAGACAGGTGCACAGACATTCTGGGAAACCAGCAGGGATGCTCACCTGGAGGGCCTGGTGGGCCTTGTATTCCTGGGAAACCTGAGGGGAGAGAATTGGAGGCTGAGAGAGTGCACCGGTCCGCAGACTCCATGTCTCCGCCGAGTCTCGCCAGGCATCAGGGAACTGCCTGTGCTCAGGGGACATGGAAAACAGACCAAGACCGCCTGGGCACCCTCCATGGAAGCCCTGGCTCAGCGGCAGAAGTGGAGAAGGGCTCCTGGAGGCCCACACACACGAGAAGGAAGAAGCTGGGGCAGGCCCATTAGAGTCCTGCAGGGGGCAGGTGCTTTCAAGACCAGGGCACGTGCAGGTCAGTGTGGAAAAGAGGGAGGAAGGGAGGGTGGGGGCAGAGCGCTACCTTTGGGGCCCGGATCGCCACGTAAGCCCGGGGTTCCTGGGTAGCCCCGCTCTCCTTTTTCTCCTAGAGGCCCGGTGCCTATAACCTGAATTAAAGCAGACAAGGTCACTGCCCAGCCCGGGGGTGGCTGGTCTGATGAGGGTAGCAATGGGTGAGAAAATTAGCCCTTGTGTTATTATTATTATTTCAAGAATACGAAAGCAAAGAAGCAGTCGGGATGGTGGGCAGGGGTGGGGGAGACATCTCTTTTCCCTCCCTCATTTAGAACACTCACACCCACTCCAGCCACAGTGCTGTACTCACAATTCCAGGCGGGCCTGGGGGACCTGCGTCGCCTTTTTCTCCCTACGAAACAAGAGATATTCACTTGCACATTTCACTAAAGGGCCATCAGAAACCAGTCAGGTTTTGTTCTGGTAAGCCCCTGCACGCTGAGACTGTTTCCTTCTCCCTAGCACCTCTGACTGCAGCAAGCCCAGCGCGCTCCACCAGGACCACAGCAGAAGCAGACATCCCGTCTGGCCTTGGGGAGAGCACGGACCGAGGACGTCCCCCAAGCACACCTGCCCTGCAGACTGGGTTCCTACTACAGGGGAGCTCATAGCCTCTGTCCTACTGACTATGCTCCTTCAGAGAGCTGTCGTGGACTCACTCAGAAGCTCAATTCATAAACAGGGGCTTTTCAACAAAATGAAAAAGAAATTTAAAAATGACATGAAAAGCATAATTCCTAAACATTTTTCTTTTTTTGAGAAATTTTTGCTACAGGCACATGTGCTTGGCAGAGAGACAGGCACAGAAAGTGAGAAATCTTCCCCCCTGGGGGACGGCCATGTTGCAGTCCCTTCTCCTCCGTTCTTTGGGGCACACATGCACACATGTCTGGTGTGAGTTTCAAGCTGCCAGGTCCAGGACTCAAACTGCAGTCAACCATGTGAGAGTCCAGCGCCCTGACCACTTCACCACCTGCTGGCCGCTCTAAGCACATTTTCTTAGACAATCATTTCCTAAGCGGCTTCTATGTATAAGATTGTCTACATTTGCCTTGGAAATCATGATATAAAGTCTAGTATAAACTGAAAACATTGGTGAATACTTTCTAACCACTTTGAGGCTAAATTTCGTCTATGTTGGATGAAACATCCAGATAAATGGACCCTCTCCTATCTAGCAATCCTCTGCAAACATAACACCAAGTCAGACAGTCCTAAGGTGTGCACGTTATACAATAAATGGACATTTTTTCCCTTTTGACTGAAGGCATTAAATTAGAATTACATGTTTTGATTTTTCTTATACGAAGGTAAGGAGATTTTTACAATATAGGACTTAAAATACTCTGGATACACTGATCATCTGACAGGGTTTTACTTCTGCAGAGATTACCGTTCTTTGGGGCACACATGCACACATGTCTGGTGTGAGTTTCAAGCTGCCAGGTCCAGGACTCAAACTGCAGTCAACCATGTGAGAGTCCAGCGCCCTGACCACTTCACCACCTGCTGGCCGCTCTAAGCACATTTTCTTAGACAATCATTTCCTAAGCGGCTTCTATGTATAAGATTGTCTACATTTGCCTTGGAAATCATGATATAAAGTCTAGTATAAACTGAAAACATTGGTGAATACTTTCTAACCACTTTGAGGCTAAATTTCGTCTATGTTGGATGAAACATCCAGATAAATGGACCCTCTCCTATCTAGCAATCCTCTGCAAACATAACACCAAGTCAGACAGTCCTAAGGTGTGCACGTTATACAATAAATGGACATTTTTTCCCTTTTGACTGAAGGCATTAAATTAGAATTACATGTTTTGATTTTTCTTATACGAAGGTAAGGAGATTTTTACAATATAGGACTTAAAATACTCTGGATACACTGATCATCTGACAGGGTTTTACTTCTGCAGAGATTACAGGGAAGCGTTTCTCTTTTGCCACTCACTTTAACAAATTAACCTTGAAGCCCTCTTCCTAGTTATTCATTCACACTTAGTAATGAATACTTCAAAATCACTTCTGATTTTACAAAAGATTTACGTTATCTAGCCTCATGATTGAAAGAAGAAAATAAAGCATAAAGCAACAATGAGGTTTTTTTCTGCCTGTGTTGACAATTTTTTTTTTTTAATTTTGGTAACAAACAGTTGCCGAATGAAGGGCTTTCCTGGGACAATGTGGTGGCACGTGGCAAAAATTCCAAAACAGAAGCCAAATGTGGTCCAAAATTTATCCTTTCAAAAATCTATGATGGGGGCCAGCAGATGGCATGTGGTTAAAGGTTCTGGACTCCCAAATGGCCAACTGCAGTTCGATTCCTGGACCTGACAGCTTGCTTTCTCACTTTCCATTTCTCTCTCTCTCTCTCTCTCTCTCTCTCTCTCTCACACACACACACACAGTCCCTCTCAGAAAGCGAGAAATCACCCCCCAGGGGGGATGGCCACGCCGTGATCCCTTCTCCTCCATTCTCCTCTCGGGATCTTGGGCACGCACACACACGCGCCTGGCGTGAGTTTAAGCCACCGGGTCTGGGACGCAAACCGCGGTCGACTATGTGGGAGTCCAGCGACATAGCTATTACGCTAACTGCTGGTCCCAGTTAAAATAATTCTTAAAAAGAAAAAAGTCTATGATGGCGGGGAGCCAGCAGTTAGCATGGTGGTAGAGACGCTAGAGTTCACGTGGCTGACCACAATCTAATCTTGACCCAGTGGCTTACTTTCTCACTTTCCCTCTCTCTCTCTTTCTCTCTCTCTGTGTCTCTCTCTAGTGAGTATATGTATGCTGTAGCAAATATTAAAATAATAACAATATTAAATAATCTTAAATAATTCTTCAAAAAAATTTTTTAAAAACCATGATGGAGAGATGAGTAAACAAGTTACCAAATACCTGTAATTATGAACGTTGGAAACGGCCTAAAAGCCATGGGCATAGCAGGGGTGCCCATGGGCAGCTCCATTCAGGGCCATTAAATACGCCATTAGCTGAAAAGCAAGCTGTGTCACCAACGCCATGTTGAAAGAAAGTGCTCACACTGGGGCCGGCAGGTGGTGTGGAGGGTAAGGGCACTGGACTCCCACATGCCGACTGTGGTTCTAGTCCCAGACTTGGCGGCTTGCTTTCTCACTTTCTCTTTCTCTCTCTCACTCTCACTCTGTCCCTCACTGGTCAAATTAAAAAAATAAATGAAGTTTAACAAAATAATCATTTAAAAAAAGTGTCCACACACGTGTGCGTATGTGAACATTAACTCTGACCCTTTCTGAGCGGGTGACAGAGAAACTAGACAGGCTCCCCGTCCTTACTGTGTTTATGCCATTTCCAGTGTTTTATAATCATGAAAAAAATTAATCTACCAACAAACAAACATTCGAGCGAGTGGAACATGTTACACACTTTAAGAAGTGATCGGTCCTTGGACTTGTCTGTGTCTATCTGCGCATAAATGCATCATGACTTTTCCAGCAACCCAACAGCGCATCCACAAAAATCAGTCCCTACAGAGCATAAGTATTTTTCACTGAATCCAGAGTCTGTCACTCTCGAGAAGAGTGACTAAACGTTCAGGCTGAACTACCATGGAGTCGGAGCTGAGAAGGCAGCGGCACCTACCGGGAGCCCCTGGCGGCCTGGGAGCCCTGGGTATCCGGAGTCACCAGGAAAACCCTGAAAGGGAAGAGAGTAAGGGGTGGCGATCAGACGCTGGTGACAGACACAGGGCAAACACTTTAAAAAATGAGAGAAACACTTACTAGACTCCCCTTTTCTCCTTTTTCACCGTCTTTCCCAGGTTTTCCCTGTGCAGAGGGTTTAAACGTTAGTGTTTCATAAGGGATGCGAACAGCCGTGCTAGGACGCCAGGGCTCTGACTCGAGCGCAGAGCAGAGGACGCCCCTCTTAGACGGGGCCGAGGGGGCCGAGGTGTTGTACCAGTGACAAACTCAAGGAATGTGCTGTGGGGGAGGAGCTACAGCACAGTGCGGCCCGGGAGCATGGGCCGGTCTGGAGCGAGTGGGGTCTGACTGGCTACGCGTCTTCTAAGACAAAGCGAACCCCAGAGCAGCTGCCCTGTTGGCAAAGCCAGCACTGCCAGCCGTTATGCCAACGTCCGCTTTAGCGGAGATTGACGCGTGGTCGCTCAGGGCTGGAGGTGGAGGCCTCGTGTCACCAGGAATCCTGAAGCTAGAGACATCTTAGCATCGCAGGCTCAGGCTGTGGATCTGGGGAGGACTCAGAGCAGAGGCTGAGTGCATAGCGAGGGCTGCCCCTGCCCCACTGGGGACTAAGTAGGACAGGTGTCATCAGGGCACGGCCCCTTAGGGCCTCCCCACACCACGCTGTCACCCTCGTGGGCCACTGAGCAGCAAAGGCCCAAGCCATGGGATGTGGAAGAGCCCTTCGCATGGGGGGGCAGGCCCAGGCCCTTCGAGCCAGCCCTCGTCCACCCATTACCAGCAAAGGCAGGAGAGGCCTGGGGAGCACGTACCCGGGGCCCGGGCTTTCCGGGTTCGCCTTTCTCTCCAATTCCCGGCATGCCCTGAGAGAACGAGAAGGAAGAGTCAGGCTCCTCCGTGTGCTTCAGAGGGAGCGGGGGTGGGCACGGCTGCACGTCAGTGAGCAGGAGACACTTTTAACCTAAACCTCATATTTATGACCCACAGGGAAACATGGGGGACAGGGAGTGGGCACGCACCTGAAATCCGGGTTCACCTTTCTGACCCTAAAAGAATTTAGAGAGAGGGACATCAGTTCTCCCTAACAATTACACCGTTCTTACACATTTCAGTGAACACGTCAAAGAAAAACATAAAGGTTTTTCCTCACATATTCACAAAGACCCTTATCTCCAGAGCTCCATTCCTGGATACAGGGTGGGAAGGGCCGGACTAGCCTGGCCAGCCCCGGGGACTGCCTGCCTCCTCCCAGCCCCGCTGGCCCGCTGCAGACCCCTCTGCAGCCTCTGCAGCCCCTGCCCGGCTCTCAGAGGAGCTCTTCCTGGGGTGGACGGCCTAGAAAGCATCTTCTGGTTCAGGTGGAATGTAGCCCGGCTTCTCACTGGCCGGGTGGCCCATACCTTCTCTCCTTTGGTGGCAAAGTCTCCTTTCTCTTGGACTTGTGCCTGTCCGGGCACTCCTGGAGGCCCACTGACCCCCTGTTCACCCTGTGGATGGAAAAGTCAGGAATTAATGAGGCAGGAAGGTGATTCCGCAGAGAAGGGAGATGCGGAGGGCAGAGCCCAAAATGAACGTCCATTTAGAGTGGAATTTGGTTCTAGGCTGCCCTGCCTCCGCAGAAAATGACGCTTCCCTGGGGAGGTGGGACAAGAAGTGTCTAGAGCCATGAGGGGACTTCACCTCCCCAGGGTCAGAGACGGCCGCCTGGCGGTGTGACCTCAATGACGGCCTAACCCCTATGGGCAGGCTTGCACGTGCGCTCGGCGGAGCATGCACATGGCCGACACACGGGCCGTCTGATGGAGCCGGGACAAAGTGCTCAGCATGAACCCCAAGACAACTGTGCCACGTTCTTCCTCAGCCAAGCAGTGGCCGGGGGCAGTGAGCAGCAAAAGCAGCGTCTTAGGGTGCGCGAGGTCCAAGGACGTCGACTGCAGAAGTTTCAGTCACTTACTGTGAAAGCCTGGCTCAGAGACTGGAGGGTGGGGGGTGGAAAGTGGGGGCCACTCTGCCCAAGCCCTGGCTGCATTTGGGACCTCCTGGAGTGGTGCCCACCCCAGCCTGACCCTCAGCGAAGAATGCCCCTCCCCGTCCAAGGGCAGTATGTACCGGGGTCCCCACGTGGCAGGGCTCTCCCATCGCTGTGACCCAGGACACCCCTGAGAGCAGCAGAGGGCAGGGCTTGTCGTCCTCTCCCTCTCCCAGGATGGAGCTGCCTGCCCACGTCCACACATTCCCACCTGACCCCTGACCTGCCCTGTTGGACAGGAGGGCTGAGGGAGAAGGGAGCCTGCCCCGATTCCCATCAGGATAGCCTTCGGTGCAGGCGATGGAGCCATGCACGACCAGCCGTCCTGCGTGCAGTGCTCGGCAGGTCCGGCGTGGTCCACCCAACTCCAGGGCAGACACTGGACCGCCTCTGCTCTGCCCATCCAGTCCCACGGAGAGCACTCACAGGCCCGGTCACTCCGGAGGCCAGCCCGGTTGGCGCCGCAGCTCTCCACGGAGCGCGAGGAGCACACAGAGCAGAGCCTGGCCGGCTGGGTCCAGAGGTGGCCCGGACATGACTGCCCTGTTTAGAGCACTCACCTTGTCCCCTTTTGGTCCTTGGAAACTCAAGCCCATCTGCCCCTGTGGATTGAAGTCAGGCTTTCATGATCAGGGCCACCGGCTGTGTGCAGACCCCTCCCCAACCCGCGCATAAGCTCAGAGACGGCAGGTCCAAGCAACAGCTCTGCCCGCACCCAGCACGGCTTCGGGAACACGGTCCCGCAGTAGCCAACGTCTGTGCAGGAGACGTCCTGGGCTTTCCGTTTGTTTCATTTGCCAGAGGGCGCCCGTGCTCGCCAGAGACAGAGACACAGACTGAGAAGGGAAGCGCCCGCGGGGCGTGGTCGCACCCCAGTCTCGGCTCCATTTCTCCGCCGCCCGGCCTTAGGGCGAGCCCATGCACACAGCGTGTTTCTCCGACTGCCGGGGCAGGGTCCGAACCCTGACTGCCATGTGGGACCTGGCTCCCTCCACAGGCCTGGCCCTTTTAAGGATTATTTAAAATTTACTTCAAAAACTATTTTTTTAACTTTAGTCACTGTGCTTCCACACAGTGACTGAGGCCGAGTGGGAGAGGGCAGGCCTGGCCGGCTGTTGGCGGCTAAATGTGCAGGTACCAGGAAAGGCAATGTGTGTGTCAGAACTTCTGATCGGACCTTGAATGACGGGGTACGGCAATCGCATGACAGTCTCGCACAGTGCCAAAACACAATACATCAAAAAAAAAAAAAGAAAAAACCTTTACCTTTTCGCCTGGAGGGCCAGGAGGGCCTGGGGGACCCTGTAAAAGAACGTTTTGGTGAGCTATGACTCACGACTCCGGGGAGCCTGGGGTCTTCCAGGTGTGAAGCTGTCTTCACATTCTGTGGTTAGCATGACAGTTTATCTGTTAAATCCTTTCCCTGTGCTCTATAACTGTAAAACCTTGGAAATAACCAGAAACTGGTCCAGGACAAGGGTGGGGGATGCATTTTTAGACGGGGTCTTGCTATGCTGCAATCCTCCTGTCTCACCGTCCGGCGCTGCAGGGACTGCGGGTACACACCACCAGGCCACTGAGTGTGGGCGGAAACATGGGCCTCCCATGTGGCCTCACCGGTGTCTGGCCCCTGCCACGGCGTGGGGCTGTCCTGGGAAGGAAGTACCTCCGGATCTTTGATCCTGTAGGTTCCCGCAGCCCAAGGACCACCGGAGGGACCCAAAGGTGACCATGAACGGACTAGCCACCCACCCTGGGAGCGAGTTTTCAGCTTAGGGATCGTGCTTGTCCACTCCAGATAGACTTGCTCATCTAACAGAGACGAGGAGTCTATGGTAAGTCGATTACAGTGAGATTAAAGCTTCCCGTATGGCAACAAAATTTCAGAATGTTCTTCATAATTACTTTTAGAAAGATAAGCTGGTCCTTTGTTACCCATAAATATGGGTCCATTCATTTATGAGAACGTCCAAGAGGCAAATGGATAGAATTTCCAGATGTTACTCAACAAAGTGGGGACAAGTAAATTAGAAATAGAAGCCTGAAGACTCTGAAGACACCTTGGGCAATTGGGTGAGGCTGCCATGCCCAGGAAGTCTCCACTCTGTCACACAGGCAGGGCTTCGGACACTCCCGCTCAAAGGTGTGGGGGAGGAGAGGGTCCTCCGTCCGAGAGTCCCCGGCTTCGAGGGCGGCCTGCAGCGCACCGCCTCCTCAGACGCCATGCCCAAGTGCCTGGTTGAGAGGTGTGTCAGGGGCTCCTAACACCCCGAGCCCGAGTGGCGATATTTCTTTTTTTTTTAATATGTTTATGTCAATTTTTTATTATTATTCATACATGAAATCGCTATTCATCACTTAGATTATGAAGAGACTTCACCCAGCATGATACACACCTCAGCCCAGCCCAGCTGAGACCACCTTACACATCCTCGTCAACAGATAATAAGCCTTTCCTGTGTCCCCTAAGTGTCTTACCTCTCCATTTCCCCCCAAATTTCCTACGCTCTTTCCCACTCTCTCCACTTTGTCTCTAGTGTCCACTGCAATTTTTAATACTTTCATGTTTCCAGTCTTTCGGTCTCTACCATAGAGTGCAGACAGTCGGTATATGTTAAGTGGAGACATGCAATGTCTCTCTGTCAGAGTCTGACTTGCTTTACTCAGCAACAAATCTTCTGTATTCGTCCAATGTCAAATTCCAGGGCCTTGTTTTTATGACTGAGTAGTATTCCATGGAGTGTATGGGTGGTGACATTTCTGCAAATTCACCTCCTCGACAGCGAATTGCGCAGGGCAGCCCCAGCTCGCCCAGCTGTGCACTCAGGGACCACAGTCAAGGGCAGCAGTCCAGCCCCCGCCTAGCAAGCCCGTGAGCTGCAGACTGCACCATGTCACGTGTGCAACACACCCTGGGAATGCGAGGACCAGAGGCCTGCCAGGCATCTCCATCAGAAAGAAGCTGATTGCACCACCTCCCAGCTGAGGGGCTGTCATTGACCACGACTCATTTCACACCTTGCTACAGGTGTGTTCCAATGATGGCCTCAGAGAGCGACCCCCCCACTTACCGGTGGTCCGCTGAACCCTGGGGGGCCGACAGGACCCTGCAGCCCTGGCACACCTGGTGGGCCCTGAAATCATCAGGAGAGGAGAGAGTTACATGCAACGGAGAAGGCGCTCAGGATCAGCAGGTGTGCGGGACCGCTCAGCAAGCACCTACCTGGATCCCTGGGGAGCCAGGAAATCCTCTTTCACCTTTCAACAGTGTTCCAGGCACGTGGCCAAGTATTTCACCAGGATCCCCCTACAGGATGAAAGGAGGAGCAAAGCGTCGATATTCTTGCAAAGACGCGCCCAGTCTGCTGGCTGAGGGCACGCGTCGCTGTATGGACGAGCGCTGTCCGGATGCAGAGAAGCTGTGGGAAGGGCTGGGGGTGACAGTCCGCGGCCTCTGACTGCGAGCCTGTGTGGCAACAGGCTGATCTCACAAAAATAAGGGCTGTCTTTAGAGAAAAGACTCCGGGGAGGGGGCGGACTTGAACCAAAGCAGCTGCCGGGGCGGGCGTTCCCTCGGTGCGGCCAGCCCACACTGAAAGCAGCAGGCCATATGCTGCTGCGACTGCAGAAGACCCACCATTGCGGGGCAGGGGCTCCAGCCAATCAGCTGAAAGCCTAAGAACAGAGCCTGGCCTCCGCCCAGGACAGCCCTGTCCACCGCGGGTCCTGGAGAGGGCACGCCACCTGCGCCTGCTATCAGAGGGGCCGAGCCGCGGTAGTGACTGGGCCTGGGTAAGACTTGAAACGGGTCACTGCAGGACCACATCAGAGACCCTGAGAAGCTTGGCACTCCTGTTCCCATCGCTCAATTGTGGTAAAGAACTGGGAGGAGCCTCTCGGGGCTGGGCACTGCCAGGCTCACTCCCACCCAGCGCCTGACAAACACTCGGCTTCATGCCCAGATGACCTGCTCCGGCTGCACTGGGAGGCTGGCAGTGGGCAGGGCGGACAACTTTAGATGTGAAAATGTTAAGACCTAATGACTGCGAGAGAGAGATGAGACGAGAGAGGGCGGCGAGGGGGGAGCGGAGGCTCAAGCACATGGGATGGTGACAGTAAGAACCAGGCAGCGACAGAACGCGGGGTTTCTCGTTGGGTGCCTGGCAGGCACCGTCGCCCTAACTACTCAAGTGCACAGAGGAGGTGCAGTGGGGACAGACAGCAGGTTCGTCCTGGGCGTGTGGCTCTGAAAGAGCCATGGGACTGAGAGAGAAGGCAGGGGGCACATCTGGAAGTCAGTCCCCCACGGCCAGGACAGGAGCCACTACTCAGCCTGGACAGGGGCCGCCCATGGCTGCATCTGCCCAGCCTCCCTCGAGGTGACCCATGTAGGTGTGAGAGGGTTGGACGCTGGTCTGTCCTGCAAAGGTTCGCAGTTTGGAATTTGGTCATAAGTGACTATGTGCCCTCCAAAAGCCCGTGTGTTAGGCTCGGTCTCACGGTAAAGAAAGTAAGTGAAAATAAAATGAAACAAGTTGTACCTTCATTCCTGGTAACCCTGGTGGTCCCTAGAAGAGAAAGTTTGGCGTTAGTTTGGTTTTTCTCAAAACATCATTAGTATTAAGATATGAATGCAGAAAGAAGAAGGGAGGGAGGGAATGAGAAGAGAAAAATTATAAGCAAAAAAGAAAGTGTGAACCTGCAGAGCCGGTACTCACGGGATTGCCGCTGAATCCAGGTAAGCCCGGCGGCCCGAGCGGCCCTCTCTCTCCCTGCGTGGGGGAGGGGGGAGTCATCACTTCTGTACACGGCACATACCGCACCCAAACGCCCTCAGGAGATGCCCTTTCCCCCTAAGGGAAACGCCACTCTGGGGCCAAGAACCATTTCCTAACCGCCGTGTGATAAGCTACACTGCTGGCACTGCTTCTGAAAGAAGAACACACTTGGTAGCCTAATTAATGCAGATCCATAATAGCGCCTTCTTATTTGATCATTTGATTATAGGTAAGAAATTCAGCACTTAAAGGCAGTTTCAGGGTAAACGTCTATGAAGTAGGGCATGCTCATGCTCCCATATATTGAACATAGGGAAGCTGTTTCCTTACCCAATAAAGGCTCAAGGCAAGTAGCTTCCCAACCGTGGCAGCAGGAACTGCTAACAGAACAACCTTACCCTACTTCCTAATAAGCACTATTACATAAACACGACATGGGAGGGGGTCCTCGGTTCTAAAGTTACCTTCGTTCCATTACATCCGGGGATGCCTGGGGGGCCTGGGGGACCATCTTGGCCAGGAATACCCTGTAATTAATAAAGTGGAAACGTCACCAAAATAGAAAATTACCTGGTGGCAAAATAGCTCATAAAGAAGCATTGTCTATACTTACGGGAAGCCCTGGGTTCCCAGGGTAGCCAGATGCTCCTGGGGGCCCCTGCAAGGATGGAAATGAAAGTGTTTCAGCTGAGCGTGAGAACCCTCAGCTCCTCACATCCACCTGCTAAGGGAGCCATGCCCTGCACTGGTGTCTGGAAGCGAGCACTACGTGGGGAGAGCACTGGGGGGGAGGTGGCTGAGGGCCCCGCCCAGGCAGACAGCCCCGGTTTGCAGCCGCAAAAGCAACGCTCACCGCTGAGAATCAAGGCGGCACGTGCACAAGTCAGTCTGTCCTCCTTTCATCCTAGGTAACATACAGGTTCTTGTAAAAGTCTAAACTCACACTCAGATCTCAAATATTTAGGAAGAAGAGTTTATAGAATAAACTAGCTCCAGGGGGAATAAATCCGCTTGTTTCCAAGCAGAGCGTTTCCTCCTCTATCCCAGAGCTACAGTGTTGCGTACCCTGCCCGGATAGTTACAGTGGGATTTCCTCCGCCTTCTCTGTCTCCAGAGCTACAGTGTTGCGTACGCTGCCTGGATAGTTACAGTGGGATTTCCTCCGCCTTCTCTGTCACCAGAGCTACAGTGTTGCGTACGCTGCCTGGATAGTTACAGTGGGATTTCCTCTGCCTTCTCTGTCTCCAGAACACACAGAAGGGCCAATAGAGGCACAGACAGGCTACTGTGGCATTTCCCTTGTAACTGACAATCGGAGACTGGACCGTTTCCATCTTCCTTCTGTCTTGGGCTTCTCCCAGCCTTGACCTCTGCCCATTCAGGACTAGGCTTCAGGACCTGGGCTCACAGAGGCAGTGAACTCTGCCAAGAATGACAGCAGGCTGAGCTCTGAAACTACTGGGACTTGTCGCACCAAACCCAGTCCCCTCGTTACCACTGTGGGACACCCTGGATGCCCCCATAAGAAATATGTGCGTAGAGATCCCTGAAGAGGAGTAGATGGGCAAAATCAAGCTTTAACTCCCGGGGGAAGAGCCCCAGCAAGCACTGCCCCGGTCGAGGAGGGAGGTGGAAGAGGCCGTGTCCACGGAAGCCACGTGCACTGCGCATGCTACTGCGCTCCTGGGAACCGACAGGGAAGGGGCACGGAGGGAGGCGGGGAGGAAGGAGCCCTCCGGTCTGTGCAAAGTGTCCCACTCTGGAGGGGTCAGGCCCCTTGCACTCAAAGTGCCAACTGCACTCACTCGTGTCCCTTTCGTTCCAGGAAGTCCTGGTTCTCCAGCGTCACCCTGCAACGAGACAACCACGTCGTCACGCCCACTCCCCACAAGCCTACACAAGACCCGTGTCCACACTCCACCCCAGGTGCACAGCGAGCCTACCTTTAATCCTGGTGGTCCCTGTGGCCCCTCGGGTCCCTGCATTCCAGGAAACCCAATGACACCTTGCAACCCGGGGAGGCCTCTTTCCCCCTGCAGAGAAAGAGAACAGTCAGGCACCGGGCCGTGGGCAGGGAAGAGGCCTGGAGGGTCAGCCGTGGTCATTTCTGTGGCCCACTTAGCCAGGCAAAGGGACCCCAGAGCAGGCAAAGCATGAGTCTGGGGCTCATCTGTGAGGGGGTTTCTGGAAGGACTGGCGTTTGAATCAGTGGACCGAGAAAGGAGGGCCCACCCTCGCCCCGTGCGGGCATACCCCGTGCGGGCAGGCACCATCCGATCAGCTGAGGCCTGACAGACAAAGGCAGAGGGAAGGGGACACATTCCCTTCTGGTCTGACCAGCATCCTCCCCAGCCGCGGACCGCCCACACCAGCTTCCTGGGCTCCAGGTGCTGGGGCTCTCACCAGAGCCCTCTGGGAGCTTAGCCTCGGGCCAGGAGTTCCACCGGAAGCTGCCCCGGTTCCTGGGCCTTTGCCTGTGGACTGGGCTCCTCCACCGGCCTCCCCGCTTCTTCCTTCTCCAGCTTGCCGGCGGCAGTCGCGGGCCTCTCGGCCTCCACGGGTTCCCGGAACGAGTCCCCTCCTTCTGTCTGTCTGTCT